TAGTAATAGATTTATAAGCTATTACTCTAATCATCCAAATAAAATGAAAATGAACCTTATAACAGGATTAAAGGAACGTGTTTTAAAACTTTCTCATCCAGACTATCTACAAGAAGATCTTCATTTGTTAAAAAATATTTTAATTGAAAACTCTTATCCTCCTGATATGCTACATAGGATGATTTTTTCTAATTTATTAAATATAAATAACTTAACACCATTTTTTGCTAAATCTCAAAACACTGTATCCAACAATCAAAACATATATTATCATTCACTACCTTTTATACCATCTTTAACTCCTAAATTAATACAAACATTAAAGGTTATTGACAATATAAAAATAGCAACAAAGAACATCAAAACTATTTCATCTTTATATTCCAAAACTAAATATCCTATAGACAAATTAGATCAAACAAATGTAGTATACAGCATTGTTTGTACTCAGTGTGAAGCTGAGTATATTGGTGAGACTGGAAGAAATCTCTCAAATCGCATTATTTCTCACAAGAGTGATTGTAGAATTAAGAAACCATCTTGTGCTTTGGCAGAGCATGTAATAGACAAAGACCATATTATGGATTTTGATAATATTAAAATTTTATGTAATGAAAGTAATAAATTTAAAAGAACTTTTTTGGAAATGGTTTGTATTAGCAAAAGTGATAATAATTTAAACAAAAGGTCAGAAATTCAAAATTTAAGCAAAATTTATAATTATATAATTTCTATTTAATTTATGCAGTCAGTAAAATATCACATTTTGAATTTTCCATGTATTTGTTACATTTTTTCGGGCATCTATCAATGATGAATAAATCTTCTTCTTTTTTGTTACTAAACAAAGAAGAATTTTTAAACAAAAATTTTATTTTTGACAATATGTCAAAAATAAAAATTTTTAAGGTGTTATTTACGTCATTTAGGCTGAATTGTAGCTATTCAATTTTTGTTTATAAATCCAATTGTTTTTTGTTAAGAAACTTTATCTAAATTTGTCAGAGAAACATTTATTAGAATAGAACATTTTTTTAATATTTTTTGTAATAATGTTAGCAGCAGTTTTATATAAATAACTAATTTTATTTGGTGAGTTAACAACAACATTATTTATTTCTAGTTCAACTTTGTAAGATATTTTGTATTTTTAGAAGCTCTTGATAAAAATTGTAATCACAATTGAAAGCTCGAGTAAAAAATAGTCAACAAATAGCCCCTTTTATTGACTCCAACCCATCAAAAACAGTGTTATATTTTTTCCAAACGAGTCACAAGTACTTCTTTTTTCTTACTCTTATATATATATATATATATAATATATATATATATATATATATATATATATATATAATACGATTTTCAGGTAATATTGCTTATAACTTTTTAGATACCCGGTATAACATAATAAAACTTTACATTGTTGTGATGTGGAAGTGAAGCCGATTTTAAATTTAAAATAAAATACAGGGTGTTCCATTTAAAAAAACATAAGTTTGGTATGCCACCATCTTATGGAACACCCTGTAAGATTGTAACTAATTTTAAAATGTGGAGTTTAAAGCTGCCTACAATTTTTGTTAATAACTTTTTTTAGTAATTTTTACTATAACAGATCTACTGAGCTTCCTCACACTAATCAATCACCCTGTATATATATATATATATATATATATATATAATATATATATATATATATATATATATATATATAAGAGCCACATTTACCTCAGTATATCCACCTGCAGCATCTTGAATGGCCAAGCCATGTATTTAGGATGGAAGAAAACAGGTTTCGAAAAGACTGTTGAATGTAAAAATGGAGGAAAAAGAGACCTATTGCAAGATTGAGAAAGCGATGGGAGGATGATGTGTATGAGGACACAAGAAATCTCCTTGGCAGTCGATCGTAGAGGAGAATGGTTACAAAACGTAATGGATGGAAAGGTTTGATGAGGGAGACCAGGGCTCGAATTGGGGTGTAGAGCCATAGGATAGGATGGATGAAAGCAGACTCTATGTATACAGATTCTCAAAATTAATGTAAGTTTATTGATTTGTTTGAAATTTTAATCATAAAAATAAAAAAAACTTTTAGTAAAAAGCTTTCCATAGAAACCAACTGAAGAAAAAAAAAATAAAAAGAACAGATTTCATAAACAAAAACTTATAAAAGTATAACATTTTTCTTTAAATCTAAATATGATAGAAAATATGAAGAAATAATCCGTTTGAGAAAATTCCCTTGAAAAATCACATGACAAAGCTAATACATTTTAAATGGATGTGTTATTTATTATGAAAATCAACTATAATAATAATAAGAGTAACTATTTGGGGTCATCTATATTAAAAGGAAACAAAGGAAGGCATGGGAAAAGAGGATTGGATCCAATAGAGTAAAATGTTTAAATCCCAAAGATAGATTAAAAAAAGGATAAAAATAATCTCAATAATAAGATATAACATTCAGTAATATTTTTTTATCACATTCCCCGCTGTTATAAACATTCATAGATAGGAATTTAAATCATAATTTTTTGTTTATTTTAGATAAGAGAATAATATTGGTAGATAAATCCCCTATCTCAAACATTTCTCATTGCACTTAAAATGGATATCTTTTCAGAGAATTTTAAGTTGTATAACATGTTTCAATTTAATGATGACTTTTTTAATATCTTGTAAAAATATATGCTGTCAATTTTTAATATTTCTGTCAAAAAATACACTGTGGCCTAGTACAGAAAAGAAAAGGTAATCTTCAATATTGAATAAGATGGAAATGTAATAAATAAAAAATAATATAAGAATTAGAGAGCACATTAAGAACCTAAGACATATGAATAAAATGTAGATAAGTATTACTACATTTAGAACAAGAAAAAACTAAAATCCAAAAGTAAATAAATATATCTGTCAAAGGCTAGCCAAATTATATATCAACTATCTGTATGAAACAATGAATTCCATGAATTAGTGTTTGAATATACATTCTATTCCACTGTAAGTGCAACACAAAGTTCATCTTTGCTCATAAGTGATGTTTCATACATATACATATATAGTTCCACTCATGTTAATAGGATTTTAATCCAGGGATTATGCTGGCCAATTTAATTTCTCTATTCCAACTTTAATTAAGTATTCTATATTATGGGGGAATATGGTCTCACATTGTCTTCCATTAAAATAAATATGGTCAACAAGATCCACAGGCTCATTTAAAATATGGTTAGTATATGTTGGTGATGTTAGTGCTGCATCTTTAACAACAAGTAGATCAGTAAGACCTCCAATTCCTTGATTATTCTTCTTCTTCTTCTTCATCTAGCCATTCACGTCCACATCTGAACATAAGCCTTTTCAAGTCTCCCTTTCCATTGTTTTTTATTGTATGCTACTTGTAGCCAATTTTTCCCGGCAGTCCTTTTCAGATCATCTGTCCATCTCATAGGTGGTCTGCCTTTGGGTCTTTTGTGTTGGTATGGTCTCCACGTTAAAATTTATCTGTGCCATTTGTTTAGATCGCTCCTAGCTACATGTCCAATGTATTCCCATTTCCTTGATTATTAAGATATGAGATATATAATTTTGCCACTGTGTATGATTCCAATTATAAGATGTTGAAGGGCAAATTCTAGTCTTGGCACCCACTAATGCCTAAACAACTTAAGTCTTTGACCCAACTTATTAAGCTGGCCACATACTACTAACTTATTCTATTCCCCCAAATTCATGAATTCTTTGTATGCTTGGCTATATCCTTCCATTCATACCTCTCTTGTGCCCTTCTCCTCCATTGTCTTACAGTAAAAATATTTTTCATCCAAATAAAATAGTTTTCAGGTCATCTTCCACACCAACCAATCATCTCGTTCTGGGCCTTCCTTTTTTCATCTTTTTTATTGGCTTCCATTGTAATATTTTTTTTTTTGGTAATACTGTATCTTCTTGTCTCTGGACATGTCTCAGTCATGGCAGTCTCTGACTTTTAACAAATCTTAAAATATCACTGTATGTGTAGTCTTCCTCTTACACTGTGCTGTATACCTTTTCAGTATCTTCCTCTCTAATGTCTTAAGTTGTGCTTCATCTTTTTTTTGTCATTACCCAGTTCTCACAAACATAGGTTACTAATTAATGTTCTGTACATAGTCATTTTGGTTCTTTTGTCTAATAATTTCGATGTCATCAATCTTTTATTAGCCTAGTATTATGATTGTCAATACATACATTTCACTAATTACGGAATTCTTTTGATTAATTTCTGTTCCCATATATGTGAAGGCATCCACATGTATGTTGGTATAGTTGTTTATTGTGCTTGTGATATTAGTTGATTTTTGGTCTCCACTATTAAATGTTCCTAGATAAAAAATGAACATTAGATGTTATAAATTTTCGACCACTTTCACATCTTTGTTCGTTACTGTTATTTTTTTTTAATAGCTGCTCAATTATATACATAGTGGACTAAATGACATTTAATCTTTTTGTGATATATTGATAATTCCATCACATTTTTTAAAGGTTACGGCTTTAACACAGTATTCATTATTTAAAACTATTTTGAGAAAAAATGAATAACCAAACTGACATTATGAAAGCAATACAACTATCAAACAATATAATAAAAATAGGCTAGATCGCAGAAACATAAATTTTACTTGCTGTGTATCTTTTTATATACACATAAAGGGAAGCCTGGAATGATATGATGATCATCCAATATATGAAAAATCTCTTGTTAACTTTTCTTAATAAAATTGTAAATCAAGATATAGAAGTCCTTATATGATTTTTTTATTGAATTTCCCAATTTCGCTGACATACTATTAATATTGTAATGGCATTGTGTAAATAACTGTTGTTACTTCTTGTTTCACTACATCCGATAGAAATTATTGTTTATTGTTATCAAATATTATTATAGCCTTAGTATTCTTTACATTTTGTGAACTACTATACCACTAGTAACCATAAAAATATGAAATTACCTGTGTAGACTGCAAAATTGGTAGGTGATCCAGAGTAAGGTTGGACATTTACTCCCCACTGTTCAGGATCTAAGTTGAAAGCTTCTAAAGATCTTTTTTGAGCTAATCTTTCAATCTGATCAATGTATTCATTTCCACCATAATATCTATAAATAAAATAGGATGAGTATTTTTAACACTGTGTATATGAAATATTGGACTATTTTATATTGAGGTAAGGGGAAGAGGCGAAAGGGAAGAGGAACCACCAACAAATCTTAAAGTTAAAGATGAAGTTAAAAAACTAGAAAGAAACAAATCACCCTGAATAGATAATCTCCTAGCTGAACTATGTAAAAAAGGTGACCACTATACCATAATGGCATTACAGCACCTCATAAAAGATATGTGAATACAGAAATAACTCCCCAAATGATTGAAATACTTTGCATTATACACAAAATAGGAGATTTCTTTGAATGCTCTATCCACAGAGGCATTATACTTCTAAATGCAGCATATATTTATTTTCAACAGTATGTAATTAATTTTAAGCTGGTAATAAGTAATTTTTTGTAAATAAATCTCACCTCTCTCCAGGCAATCCCTCTGAATACTTATTATGTAGACAAGTACTTAGGCATTGTAATACTGGTAATGTGGTAAAATTTTCTGATGCAATCAACTCTATTCCTGTAATTTGCCTCCTTTTCTCTTTCTTGATGATATCCCACAACTCAGGATCTGAGTCCCAAAGGTTAGCGTTCAAAGTCTTGGAGATATCAGCATTAGCCATTCTGTTAGTAGTTGTACTAAAACTTCTTGGAACTAATTGGGTAAATAACACTTTTTGGACCTGTGGTTGAAAAAATATTTTAACACTTTTCATTGTCAACGATATAAATTACTTCTAGTAAATTATTCCCTAATAAATTATACGAATTAAAATAAAATAAGAGAGACTTTAGTAATTAAAAAGTAATGTACAAACTAAAGGTTATGGTATACTAACCTCAAATAAATATCGACAAACGTTTAACTTGCTTTATAAACAGTGATTATAAATTATTTACTACCAAAATTCGTTTTATATCTCAATACTAACTTTGATTGTATTAATCAATTGTAAAAACACGTCTATAAGAATCCATGCGATAACCTTAATACGCAAACAAGCGACCGGTCAAATTAATGAAGAAAGAGGTCAACAATATCTAAAACGTTAACACAAGCTTGAAAGAAGAAAGAAAAAGTTGTCTCCCATTAATCGTTTAATAAAAAAACTTATTCAATTACTAGAATTATCTGCATTCTTTCACTTACCTGATGAACGTGATAAAGCAACAGGTTGTTGATTTTAAACAATGCGCGGCGGGAAATCATGGCAGATTTAAAAATTTGTATTGTTGCTTGGAGCATTTGGAGATATCTTAAAATATTGAAAAATAAATTAACTAATCAGTTTTCATAACTGTTTGTCCTTCATTATATAACCTTCTGGTAGCTGTTTAAGACAAATAAAACATTTAAATTTGCTGGTGGTATAAAATACACTCGTTAACAAGGACCGGTTTAAGATATATTTGTATATGGGAATACGGAATATTTATAATAGATTATCAGCAAAGAATATAGAATTCTTTGTTATCAGTACCTCAAAATAAATATTCTGGGAAACAATTTCATTTAATAATTTATTTCTTTATTGAGAATTTTTGTTTTCTAATATAGAAACTTTCTATAACAGTGATTTCACGAATTGATTTTATCGGAGAGGTTTCTTAAAAATGCTTCCCGACACAAAAGGCACGTAATTAACAACAGGCGCGGCCAGCCAGTAACAACTCTTCAAAAAGAACATAGCGTTTAAGAAAGTCCATTTGTCCTTTTATGTGTAACAACTCTTCAAAAAGAACATATCGTTTAAGAAAGTCTATGTTTATGTTTAGAAATCGTTTAAGATTTGTCGTTTTATGTGTAGGTATGTTTATTATCTGAAAATTACCCCCCAATTTTAAATATGTTCGGCATTTTCCTCTTCATTTTCGCAGAATCTGAATTTTGCATTTTACAGATATCTGAATGAGCAGTGTTAAGTGAAAACACCTGTAATTACTCTTTCAATTTATTGAATAGGACCATTATGCGGATACAGCTAAATCGTTCTGATCCGATATAAGGAGTAAGTAAACTCGGATTCACTAGTAGATTTCAACATTGGCTCTTACGGACAATGTTAATCAAATGGAAGAAAACGCTGCAGCGTTGCTAGTTCATCGTCGGCCTCAACGTGGCAGAGCCGGCTTCGAACTTAACACTTCCTTACACACGGAGCACTTGCAATTTTGCACTAACATTCACTTATTTGCCCTAATGACTGTTCCAGAAAATATTCGGACGTCTTCGTAATATAGTGCTCAACAATTGATAAGGATCATAATTATGATTTCAAAAATTTTAAAAATTTGTTTAAGATCATAGTATGATGACTTGTATAGAATAAATGAAAATAGACGACTTTAATATTCAACTTTTTGTTGACCCTCGTAAAAAATGGCAATAATGGCAAAATTTATTTTATTTCATTTAAAATTGATAATACAGTCGGGGTATTAATATTACTTTAATTATATTAAATTTTTTACAAACTTCGGCTATTTCTGGAGTAAAATATTACTTCGATTCTTATCAATTGTTGAGCACTGTTGTATTTGGCGAATAGAAAATTTCTTACATCTCTTGTCAGATTTACGGAAATGGATGTTCGGAGACCTTTTGAATATAATTGAAATGAATAGAAAGAAAATGCCATGATTAGTAGATAAGTCAAAAATATATCGGGGATACATCATTTATATTTTAGTATTTATACAGGGTGTTTCATTAACAGTTATCCATAGAGTAACTGGAGATACCTTAGCACAAAATACGAAGATTTAACCTAAAACACTAATCACATGTTATGATTTTTATGACTGATATTTTTAAGTTAAAGTTGATTTCATATAAATGAATGAACTATCTTTCAATAAAATCCTTGCAACTCATAAATATTGGCAATATCATTTTGATGTCTTCTACTTTAAAATGTACAATAACATTTTTGTAATTGATTAATATTTTGTATTTCGATAATGACCTCCGAAGTGAAAGTCGTAGAATTCGTAGAATAGCTTACTGACTAATGGGCGTTTGTAGAAATGGTTTAACCGTGTAGAAATTTCGGTATTGTTGTAATTAGATACCCATTTAGAATTTTCCTGATAATAGTATCTACTAATTTTTATACGAGTGCGTATATCTATTGCAGTTTTGCAGTTTGTAGAAACGGTTAACTGTTTTGTGTGTGCATTCGAGAAGGTACACTTCCCGTCATATAAAACTGGTACACTTTTTTTCCCAATGTAAACCTGTGTTCAGACTGGACACAATGGCTCGTGAATCAATTCGTTGTTGCCATTACAGATAACGGAATTTCAGTAAATTTAAATAAAACGTAAAAAATAACGTTCAAAAATATATAAAGTTTTTAAATAGGTATTATTTTTATTATTACCAACAAAAAACCGTATCTAATAAATTTAATAACCAGAAAGAGGATTGAGTTAATGTCCAAAATATTGAACGATATTTAAACTTGGAGTATTGGCATAGGGAACATTGGAATGCATCTATTGTAATTTTATACTTCAATTACTTATAGAACACAAACTGTTAACTGTATTTTATGTCAATCAACTTAGTAATAGGCAAACTACCTAAATTTATTTATTATTTATTACATGAACGGTAAATGTGAAAAACTAACATTATACTTTATCCTACATAGGTTATAAACAATGACGTATAATATATATAGACTACGCAGTCCCCTATTCTCGCTATAGAATCGAGTGTCCGAAAGATCTCGGCTCAAGGTTGAAGGTATGTTTATTAGAACAGCGGCGTGCTCATTTATATGTTAATGACAATAATTATTTTTTTAATTGAAATTAAATATTTATGATTTCTTTTTGTTCCAGTCTATAAGAGAAATAATTATTTTGATAAAATAGTATGGCATTTTACTAAAATAGTAAGTAAATAACTATCAACAATTTAAAATAAAATTTGCTTGTCACACAAAATGGAGTACGTCCATGATGTTTTCAAACACAAGATCAACTTCGTGATGCTTCGTAAGAAATCATGAACTTCGTGCATCTTCGTATCAAAACAATAAACAATAACAAAGGTATTCATGTTTTGGACACTTTTTAAAGCGTTCACCGAGTCTATATATTATACGTCATTGGTTATAAACTATAAAATATCTGGGGCGGAAAACGCTTTTAAAAACGTGACAGTATTACATTATCCTCTTATAACTGTAAAAAATCCTCTTATAACTGAAAAATGCTGGTTTAGTATCTTTAGATGTTATCAGTGCGTGAAAACGTCCCAATCATATTCGAACAATTAAACATAAAAAATATTGCTTGCCATCTGTCAGATTTGACAAGTTTGTCAAAGTGAATTTTTAAAGATGCCACGTCAGTTAAGTTGGTTTGATAAAACGAGAATAATTTTAAAAATAGAAAAAAATTAAACATAAAAAATATTGCTTGCCCTCAGTCAGATTTGACAAGTTTGTCAAAGTGAATTTTTAAAGATGCCACGTCAGTTAAGTCAGTTTGATAAAACGAGAATAATTTCAAAAATAGAAGATGGTTGGTCTATTCGACAACTGGCTCAAGAGTTAAATAGAAGCAAAACCACAATCCACAACATTAAAAAAAGATGGGAAAACGACCAGACTTTGGATAGAAGGAGAGGGAGTGGGAGACCAGTTACTACTACAGCCCAACAGGATGAGCCTGCTGCCCACAGCTTGCCTTTCCATACGGAAAGGCAAGCAAAAGTTAATACAAATTTTAATGCTTCTATAACTACAGCATTAAGGAGAATTAGAAGAACAGATTTAAAAAAATGTGCAGCCGCCCGAAAATACAAATTTAGCGAGGAACATAAACAAAGTAGACTCCTTTTTGCTTTAAATTACGTTTTAAATGATCCAGGTAATTTTTGGGACCGTGTAATTTTTACTGATGAAAAAGTATTCCAGTCTCATTATGATGGCCATATTAGGGTTTATAGACCGCCTCGAAATAGGTTTAACGAAAACTATATTTCATCAAGTGATAAGTCCGGACGGTTCTCTATAAATGTTTGGGCTTGGATGTATAGAGGAGGTTTAGGAATGTGTTGGAGAATGGAAGGACGATTTAATACTGAAAACTATTTACATATATTAGATAATGTGATGTTGCCATCGGTTAGGGAAATTTTTCCCAACAATAATTTTATTTTCCAGCATGATAACTGCTCAATCCACACAGCCCACCGTGTACGGGATTACCTTATGGAAAATAGCATTGAAGCTCTTCCATGGCCCTCTAAAAGTCCAGATATTAATCCAATAGAGAATGTTTGGGGACTTATGATCAACAAAATACAAAAATTAAATGTAGTTCCCCAAAACAAAGATCATTTATGGACCATCATTGAAGAAACCTGGGAAAGCTTAACCGAAGATGAAAATTTGTCACTAAATTTAATTAACTCAGTTCCCAGAAGATTACAAGAAGTGATTAATAATAATGGAGCTATGACAAAATATTAGCTGTTCTAATTGTAATACACATATTTAAACCCCACACTTGTTCACTGTAAAAATGATTCATTTTTTATTAATTTCAAATAAAATTTTAATTTTTTCTAGTGGGTTTTATTTACTGTAGTATTCCACAACTCAATACAGTTTTGTACTACACTTTACGAGAAACCAATCATACCTCTCGATTTGAAATTAAACATAAATTTAAAGTCATGTCTAGATTTATTATCTATCATTATTTTTGAATTGAAATATTTTTATAAATTATAATAAAACACGAATCAATGTATGGGTACTGAAAGAATGGAAAATTTCAAAATTAATAGAATTTTTTAAGATGTATGTTTAAATAAATGTATAAATATAAATGTGACTGACTGATCGAGAATGCTCAATATGATTTTAGTTTTTAGTATACTAAAAACTTGCGTCCCGTCACACAGCTCTGCTTTTAGCTGGTTTGATATAATATTTTCGTTGAACTGGTATCGTTGCCTTCGAAACTAGAATGACACATATGACAAGCTCAACTTACACAACTTAAAAAACACGATTTTCGGTTATAAGAGTTGTACCAGTTTTTTATGACGGGAACGGTACGTGTGCATTCGAGAAGGTAAGGTACGTCAAAAAATAAGTGCAATTTATTTTTAAACTTTTTTTATGTACTGTGTCAAAAACATGGAGCATTTAGAGGTGAAAAGTTTCAAACAAGGACAAATCTTAGATTTATATGCGAGACAAATTATTTTGAATATGTTGATATATACAACAAAAACAAATTCCGATCTGACTCCAACACAAATTGTTT